TCGCTCGGTAAAATCCACATCAGTGAACAGCAAAGCACAAATGGCTTCCTTCAAAGTTGGATACAGAATTGTCCAGTGCAAAAAACCACACAATAGCTGAGCAGCTCATTCTCCCTGCTGCTGTAGACATGGTGTCGATTATGCTGGATGAGACAAGTGCTGCAAAATTGAAAACTATCCCTCTGTCAAACGATAGTTACATTTATATTTTATCCGTTTTGAACTTAGTGTTATTTGACATTTAAAATTTGGCCGATTTCGTTATTTTTTTGACAAGTGGGGCTTGAAAATTCGCCCACTCTCTTAAATGGGGAATGACAAATGTTTGAGAACCACTGGTTTACATCATGTGGCGATAATCACAGGTTCACAAAGCTGAAGTAAGAAACATGTCCGCTGTAGTTTCAGGAGGAACTACTCAGCTAGGGAAAGTCAAGTAAAAATAAGTCTCAACTTCCTCACTGTGTGTTTTAGTGACAGGTTAAACGGCGCCTTAGCAGCACAAGGTCACGAGAAACAGAAGGGTCCAAAGAATCCAGCAAAGGCCAAGTTATAAACAGACCACAGTAAAATGTTTAGAATAATGTTAACTTGTTTAAAAATGAAATAAATGTAGTCAAAGGAGACAAATATAAAATACACCACTGTTCATTATTACAAGTCGTTTGGATACTAGTTGATCACGAACCTATGCAGCTCGCTCTGCCTCTCGAACGTCATTATCCACACTGATGAAGTCATCCAAAGCTTTTCTGGGAAGAAGTGGTTTAAAAGAGGTCACTGCAGAGAGGAAACGATCCAGCATGACAACCTGCTTCACATCTGAGCTGAACGGAGGGCAGAGGGCTTCAGAGATCACGCCACCCCACCTGCAATTCTGAAAGTTACCGTGCCATAGATATTGCCCTCAACAGCAGATGTACTCAGGGTTATCACTGCTACATCTCAGCGTCTGTATCCCTTAAAAAACAGCATGTATCTACATGGTGCAGGATCTCGGACACGCTGTAGAGCATAGAAGGTCCTGGACAGTGTCAGTCTGTGAAGGATGTGCACACAGCTTACACTCAGGTCAGCTGGCCTGTGTTGACTGTGATCACTGCTAATGAGCTACAGCTAACCAGTGTGTACAGGAGCTTTGCTCTCTCACTCGTTCACTGTGAACCGTTTACTGCTCTCTCTCAGGAGGCCCATGAGCAAGGCATCAACGCTGTGAGGTTCAGCTCCAGCTCAGTCCTGTTGGCCACTGGAGGAACGGACCGAGTCGTCAAGCTGTGGGAGGTCAGAGCAGGTACACGCTATAGCTGTTGTTGTTGTTTTTGTTGTTGTTTGAGTGTTTGTGATGAGGTGTTCTGACATCACTAATGATGTCATCAGGCTCGCTGACTCACAGAGCGACTCTGGATGGCAGCACTGAGGGGATCACCTGCATCGAGTTTGACCCAACAGTGAGTCAAACACCTGATCTCGCTCTCTAGTCTGCATTTTGAAATCAAAACTCCTGCTGACTTACTGACACACTTACAGGCTGATGATGACAGGCTGGTGTCTGTGGCTGATTTCTCTTTCCAGGGTCTCAGGGTCCTCGCGGCATCCTACGATAAGTCGGCCTTGTTGTGGCAGCTGGATGACTCCATTCCCAAGGTACCTGTTACAGACTGAGTGCAACCAAACAAACACAAACAGACCTCGACTTGACTCACAGCTCTACTTGACTGCAGACTTGACTCGGACTTGTGGATAGTGACTCGTGAACATGAAGTTTTCAGAGATTGGCGAGCGTTACTTGGCCGGCCTTTTGGCCCCTGACGTTTTCTCAGTCTGCAAATTAGTACATGTAGATACCCGTCTGGGATTGGTTCCTCAGTTGCAGCACTTGCTCCTTGGACTGCCTCACCTGTCTGTCTCTCTCTACCCGTCTGTCACAGTTGACTCTGACAGGTCACAGCAGGAAGGTGACGGCGGCGAGGTTTGGCAGTTCACCTCATCAGGTGGTGACAGGAAGTGCAGACAGAACCATCAGACTGTGGGACCTGCACAGAGCTGCCTGTGAGTCTGATCAATAACTGATCACCGACTGCCGATTGGCTGTTCACTGACTAGTGGACCTGTCCCTGCAGGTGTGCAGGTAGTTGAAGTGGCGTCATACTGCAGTGACCTGGTCTGTTCTGATAACTGTATCATCAGTGGGCACTACGACTGTAAGATCAGAGTCTGGGACACCAGGTGATGACCTTTGTTTCATATTTTTAAATGCTGCTTTATTAGTTCTGTTTTTCACCACATGTATTCTTCATCTTTTTAATTGAACGCTTTATTTAATTGCTTCACCACCCTCGTTTACCCCTCTTTGCTTTGTCACCACTTCACTTCAGTGCTTGGCCACATCTTCACCCTTTCACGACTTGACTCCATAACTTCAGTCCTTTACTGCTTTGATATATCCACAGCTGGTTTCACCTTGGCACTGCTTCCTTTCTTTACACTTCTCCTCTTCATCGTGTTGCTCCTTCACTACACAACCTTTACCCCCGAATAACTGCCTGGCTGCTTCTTCATCATTTCATGTTTCCTTTTCATAACCCTTAAGCCCTCTCCATGTTTTCTCTTCAGTTTCTTTCATTAGACTCAGATTCCAGTGGATTCTGTTTGCTGTGACCTGAACAGCACAACAAACAGTTTCACTTGGCCGGATCAGGAACTTTAGGGATCAGTGGAAACGGTGGAAACATGGCCGCTCTGTTCTGACTGACGTGACACTGATGCCTCTCCTTCATTCTCCTGGCTGTCTTCACAGCTACCCGTCTCCCTCTGTTACCTAGCAACAGCTCAGCCCAGAGACACCCCTCCCACCTCTTTGCGGGTTTCAACAAGCAAATGATTGACAGCTCTCTCCACCAATCAGATACCACCATCCTCCCTGACTATTGATTGGACAATAACAACATTCACTGGGCTGTGATTGGTCAAACTTTAATAATCATAATGATGCCTTTTAATTTGAAGTGAGATTTTAATCAACACTATAGATTTAAAGCCAATTTCTGATGTAAAGTCTGTTTACTGAAAATATACACCAGGGGTACTACTCATACCCATATTCTGTACAGTATCCACCCAATGTCCCACACATGCATATATATTTGTACGTTTACACTTGCGTACAATCATCTGCACATGTATGTGTGCCTCCGTGTAAAGAACGATGAAGACAAAAGAGAAAAAAATCCAAACATAAATGAACAAGGAGAAGTCGGGGTATAATAGTGCCGGCACTGTTTCCTATGGTACACTGATCAGCCGTAACATTGTGGCTACTGATGTGAAATGAATAAGATTATGTCGTTACAGTGGCACCTGTCACTGTGGGGGGGTATTCAAGTCCTTGAAGCTGATGTGTTGAAAGCAGGAAACGGGCAGTGTAAGGATCTGAGCGACTCTGACAAGGTCCAGACTGTGATGGCTGACCACTGGGTCAGAGCGTCCCCCTGCAGGTCCTGTTGGGTGTTCCCGGTCTGCAGTGGTCAGGACCTACCACAGTGTCTAAGGAAGGACAGACGGTGAACCAGCCACAGGGTCGTGGACGCCCAGGGCTCACTGATGTCGACCTACTGTAGATAAAATTGTAAAATTCCATTTGTACTTTTCAAAGAAGTTCCTTTGTGTTTGAACCATTGTTAAAATGGGTGAAAATGAGAAATATTGTGCATTGGCCTCTGTGAAGAGGCGCATTCAGTGGTGATATCACAGCAGGAGTGAGTCTAACTGGTCCTCACCACCACAGTTTTCACTGCTTTTACATGTTTCTAATCACCAAATGCTGGACAAGTTTGTGCTCTTTGAGAGAGTATAACTACGATAGCAAACAGATTCCCACAACATGCACAGTGAGTGTCTGAGCGACACGAGTGCTGGTTGACTGCTGTGTTCACAGTCTTAAGCAGGTGGTCATCATGTTACGGCTGATCAGTATAAACAGTAAATGTCTTCACACAGAGTAAAATCCCAGATTGAAAAGTAAACTCCAGTTGTCAGATGAATGTAGTTTCAGAAAAGTACAATATTTTACTTGAGTAAAAGCAGTTTCCACTACTGCTTATCTGGAGTCGCATCACGGTGGCGGCAGCTTCATCAAGGAAGTCCGGATGTCCCTCTCCCCATCGCCGTTTTCCCGGCTCCTCCTGGGGTCCCGAGGCGTTCACAGACTGGATGAGTTCTGGGTCTGTCTCAGGACCCCTTACTAGCTGCACATGTTTGGAAAACCCTTGTCCAAGCAGATCCTGATCACATCCTCGAACCCCCTTGTTGGCTCCTTTTGACTCGGAGGAGCAGCAGCACAGATTCTGTTTAGATTGATTCTGCCACACTGATTGGTGCTCCTCCATGTGTGGCCGCCAGAGCAACGTGTGTCGGATCAGGTTAACTGAAACTGATGTCTCACACTCAGGGCGGCGAGCTGTGTTCAGGAGTTTCCTGCTCAGGGCAAAGTCACCTCACTGGACATCAGTGTTGACCATCGCCAGCTGCTTAGCTGTTGCCGTGACAACTGTCTCCAGCTGGTCGACCTGAGGAGGTGGAGCAATGACCGCATGTGCTTCAGGTAGAAACTTCAGAGTTTAAGAAACATTGTGTTTTAATGAGCAGCTGTGTGGACCGTGAGGCTGACTGTCTCTGTGTTTCTGTCTCAGAGCTGACGGGTTTAAATGTGGCAGCGACAGCACCAAAGCTGTGATCAGGTGAGTTCACCCCTGAAGGAACCCGGTCCTTCAGTCAGGGTGGTGTTGCAGAGAAACCTGACAGTTTTTCTCTCCTGATATGATTCTGATGCCAAACTCAAAGTATCCAGAGATCCGATTTCAGTGTTTTGCTCACAAGCCAAACGTCACAGCTTCTCTGCATCAGGCTGATGTTATTGTGTCCATAAAGACAGAAAATATCAAAGTCCAGTTTTAAGACAACTGTTCAGAGTGAACCTAGCTAACCATGAAAGTCATTCTCAGCACTTAATGTTGGATAGAAACACCTTGCATTCATCATGTAGAAGGTGGTGACAGTTACCAGCAGGAACCTTGTTCATGAATGTTAGTTCATCACCTCAAATAAACACAGGCCATGTGACACATCTGATCAGGAGTCTGCAGCACCGTCAGCAGTGTCTCACAGACAGTAGTGTCGGCAGCGACCTGGGAGCAATCTGATCCATGTAGTGTTTTTTTTTTTTTGTCCCAGTACTGAGGACCAGTAGAACCAGGAAAACACACCGCAGGTGTTAAGACGAAACCCATGACAGTGTGGAGACACAGAGATGCAAAAACACATTCAGCAACAGAAACACTGTTGTGATAGCAGAACTGAGTTCAGTAAGGAGTGAACCCACTTTGAATATAATGTGCAGCTTGGGTTAGTTAGCCACCACTGACCCCCACGCCCCTGAACTTAACTGGCTGACAAAGATAAACAGCAGGTGGAGCTGATTCTACAGTCGGTGTCATTAAACCAGCAGAAGTGAAGCTCAGACTGTGGAAGACATGATGGAAATCTTGATCTTTCTCTTGGTTTCATGAGTCAGTATGAGGAAAAAGTCCTGATAATGCCTGCTTCCTGACCTGCTGCGTGCAAACAGGGTCTCTGTCCCCAGGTGATCCCTCCCAACAAGGCTGGTCGTGTTCATGTAAAGGTGGCAGAAATAATGGACGGGCTGGCGACACCAGGGTGAGAGCAGGGTTTGCTAATGTTTTGTGATGTCACAGGTTCACTCAGGTAAAAATGGTTTAGCATTGGTGTTTGTATATTTAATTCCCTGCTGTCTATCGGCGTGTTTCTGGTCAACAGATTAAAATAGAGACAGGAGGGATGAGCTGCTGTCGTTCATTTTCTGCTGTTTCCATGACGACAGCAGGACCAGTATGCTCAGCGTCTGTTCAGCTGTCTGCCAGCACTAAATACATAAATTGTGTTTGAATCCAAAGTCAGTCAGTCGGCCAGGCTGGCCTCCCTCTGTAGCTCCACACAGGCGCTGTGATGAACTGCTGGTAAACCGTCGTGAATCCACTCGGCTGGATCCAGCAGCTGTCATCTCCACTCTAACACAACGCATCTTGGTTTTATGAGTTCTATAATAAAACATCCCTGCACATTTCCTGAAAATAACTCAGTAATTTGGTGCTAATTAAATTAAGGCAGCATTATTCTCTAAGGAACACCCTGTAACTGCACACTCATTTGTGTAGAGCTCCGTTGACTCAAAGACGCTGACAGAGATCCATTAAAACTGAATATTATCTTTGAAAACTTGTCTGATTGTTTAATTATAGGTTTTAGTGCAATTTAGAATCGCACCAAATGTACAACTATACAGCCACATTATCCACTTCCGTGTTCAGGCAATGTGCTGAGTACTGCCTTGCAATTATCACAGTAAACTGAAGAGTAACACTACAGCTGTGTGGATGTTCTTTTATAAGTACAGTAAAGACGGTGTCCCTCAGTAACCTCCTTCAGACAGGATGATAGCACCTGTCAGACGATGCTTGAGAGTAAATTTTGATAGATTGAATCATCCGTTGAAAATAAATGTTCAGGAATCGGCGACAAAAGAACCTGAACTGTCCAAACTTCACTCAGCAGACTGAACCTGAGCCGCCACAAACCTTTTGCTGAGCAGGCTTTTACTGTGACACCGTGGCAGGAAGTGAAGGAATACAGATTACTGCAGCAGTGAACGATCACATGACCTGTAGTCGGCTAGTTGGTTCTCTGGTGTGATGTTGGTCTTGAACTGAGACTTTACCTGAGACCTTTAGGTTCTGATTTGACATGTTTGTCATGAAACGTGTTGCTCTTAACTTGGACCTGACTCAGGAACCTTCTGAGTTGTACAACAATAACTTTGTTCCAGCTTTTCACTGCAGAATTCCACTGGTTCTTAGTAAAGTTTTGCATAGACCTAAAACTGGGACCCAAGCCCACAACTTTAAGACCTGACTCAGACAAATCCTGCTGGTAGTGCCAAATTTGAGTCCTGAACAGACTAGAACCCTGTTCTCTCTCGGTCTAACCTGACATTTATTCTCTTCAGTCCAGACGGCTGTTTCCTGGCAGCCGGATCAGCAGATGGTGCCGTTTACACCTGGAATGTCGCCACCGGCAACCTGGAGACCCACCTCCCTGGCAAACACAAGTATGAGATCGGAAATATTGATCACCTTATCAATAAATGACAACCAAACCAGTTTAGACTGTTTATTTAACATTGTTTTAAATCTCTGTATGGTGTAAAAGTAAGACCGGACCCTGGTTGCTGATTTGGCCCCAACTTGATTTGTGTCCTTTTCATTAACAGCCTGTTTGCTTGTCCACAATGGAAAATGTTCATATTCAGAGTTGCATGAAAAATGTTTTTGAAGAGTTTTTGATGTTCAGTAGACATAAATGAGGCTTTAAACTATTTAATGGTCTTATACTTGTACAGCGCTTTTCTACGCTTTACAGCTCACTCAAAGCGCTTTCACACTACTTGGCCATTCACATTCACACACCGGTGTCATCACCGGGAGCAACTAGGGGTTCAGTGTCTTGCTCAAGGACACGTCAACACGTTGACTGGACAAGCCAGGAATCGAACCGCTAATCCTCTGTTTAGAAAATGACCCGCTCTACCTCCTAAGCCACAGCCACCCTGCATTTAGGCAGGTTTTCTCATCTTGACTCCCCACAAATGAAGTTAGGTTACTCTAAGTATATAATAATCATGATCAATAAACGCTCCAGAGTAAATATCATTAAATGTCCAAATATTAAATGTTCCTGAAAATCTCTAAGGCTTGGTACAAAGAGCAGGGGCTCTAAGATGCCTCCCTGAGGAACTCTGTGTTAAAGACAAATACATAACTTTACTAAAGTTTCACTAGTGTAATAATCTTTTACTAAATGTTTCTTTTAAAGCTTATAAAGATTAAACAAGGATCTGAAGCTCTAAGATGCTTCCCTGAGGAACTTCATGTTGCATACCAGAGTGAACTGTTCCTTTCACTTCACCTTTAAAGTCTCCTCTTTCTCCTAGTTCCTCCATCAGTGCCGTGTCCTGGTCTCTGTCTGGCGAATACGTCGTCAGCGTGGACAAGAGTCGGTGGGCCGTCCTCTGGAGTGACATCTGAAACAACCAGCCCATGAGGAGGTCACGTTGTCAAGGCAACAGCCCACACATCACGCCTAACCTGAAAAAGCAACCTGATCAGGGAGAATTTGGGATTTTTAAGATATTTGTTCATGGGACAAACAGTACATGAAACTTTAAGCTTGGTGCTTCTTTTTTTTACCCTAACTGTGGAGTATTAACAGGTATTACTGAGGGAACACTTTAAGCTTCTTTTACTGGATTATCTGAACAAAGGGAAAACTGCAGGACATTCAGTAACATTTAAAATATGTGACCATGAAGCAAAGACGATGGGAAACACATTTTCCAGGAGGAGGACTCAAAGATCACAAACATCTGATTTCAACCAAAAAATGTAAAAACTCTGGGGATCCAAACAGGATTGACTTTATTATGTTTGTGTTTTTTTCTATGTTCTATTTTGTTATTTTTCACAGACTAACATGCACATGGGATGTTCTGGAACTAAAACTACTGTGGGGCATTCAGCAGCTCAACCTACTGTGTAGCTGTCAGATACTAACATGGTGCATTCTAGAACTAAGCTGAGTGTTTGGAAATTAAATTGAATGCAAGTTGTTTACAGACTAAAGTTAACATGGCGCAGTCAGAAACTGGATTTGGGCAGCAGACTTTGGAGTTACTGCTTTTAGCCTGTGTAGTGTTTTAAAGTGGAAGACACTTGGTGCAGCATCTAGGACGCCTCACCACATCCAGAGAAGACAGTGTCTTTGTGTGACTACTTGTGCGATGTGTTCGGAGACATCTCAGGCTGCCCATCACACTGCAGTGAAGCATTTTGCACACGCCAAAACAGGTCACTTCACCCATTTAAAGGCCTGGTTCCTGGTTCTCCTAAAACCCACCATGATCTCCTTGGTCGTGGAGAAAACCTCTGTGATGACAGGACCTAACTGTGCTTTAAAAGTGTTTCTGACAGCTGATTCTGAGCACAGAGGTTGGTGTCAGGGGTTCTGCGGGCCTTCAAATGCTTTGAATCCATTTTTCTCAAAAGTCCTTCATATTGCCTGCCTGCTGTAGCGAGCGATGTCAGTTACGTTAAGTGTTTTGTTCGTGGTTGCTGGCTGTTGGGAGACTTTATACTACAATAAACAATGAGTAGGACTGTTGTGACGGTTTATTTGTGTGCACAGGGCAAGCTGAGCTCATCCAGTCAGAATAGACGTGATGATTTCTTTTATTTAGTAAAAACTTAAATTTGGAAGTTTGGATTGGTTACAGGTGAGCGGACCTCTCCTGTGCTGCTGTTCGTTCGGTATCCAGGAATCAGGAGAGTATGGAAGGCAGTGCCTTTGGATCTTATCTCGGCAGCAGAGGTTCAGTTGTGTTGAAGGACCTGGAGGCATTTCTTCACATGGGTCTGCAGGTCTGAGCAAAAGCACTAGTTTAGTTTTTAAAAAAGACATTCAGAGGTATTAAAAAGTGTTAAATGTCCTTTACAGAATCTTATCTTCAGCCTGGTGCAGGCAGGAACATAATGTCTCAGTAACCCTTAAAGACATTTTGTCTCAGGACAAAAGGGCTGAAAACTCCAGTTCTGCTGTTCCAGACACCAGACTTTATGGAAAAGTCACATTTGGACTTTAGACAATATAAAGTTGAAATATCTGAATCTTCATTCATCCACGTTCTGCTTTGTCAGGTCCAGGTCCAGATCATTAATTAATTACCACTGATTAATTAGAGATTAGTGAACCTGCAGAAACTGTCAGAACTGATTTTTGTCACAGCTTCACAAATGCAGACTGAACAGTTCTGTTCCACGTTGCTGTATTAAACCAGTTGCCTCATATTGTGTAGGCCCCGTCCTGCCACCAAAGCAGCTCAGACCTGTTGAGGCCTGGACTCCACAGACCTCTGAAGGTCTCCTCTGGTATCTGGCACCAAGACATCATCAGCAGATCCTTTAAATCCTGTAAGCTGTGAGGTGGGGCCTGCATGGATCGGACTTGTTAGTCCAGCACAGGCCACAGATGTTTGATTAGATCGAGATCTGGGGAATTTGGAGGTCAAGTCTACACCTTGAACTCATCGTCGTGCTCCTCAAGCCCTCAGGGGTGGAACAGTGTTTGGATAGGTGCTACGTGTGACAGTAACATTCACGTGATGTAAAAGAAAATGTGATTCACAGACCAGGCCACTTTGTTCCACTGCTGCATGGTCCACTTCTGAAGCTCACATACCCATTGTAGGTGCACTGGACAGAGGTCAGCAGCTACACAGCCCCATCTGCAGCAAGCTGCGATGCACTGTGTTCTGACACCTTTCTATCAGAACCAGCACTGGGTTTTCCAGCTGTCTGTGCTACAGTAGCTATTCTGTGGGATCGGACAACGCGGGCTAGCCGTCGCTCCCACATGCATCAGTGAGTCTTGGGCGCCCATGACCCTGTCGCCAGTTCCCTGTTTATCCTTCCATGGACCACTGGTCGGTATTGACTACTGCAGACCAGGAACACCCAGCAAAACCTGCAGCCTGGGAGGTGCTCTGACCTGGTCGCCAGCCATCACGGTTTCACCTCACAACATCAAAAACGGACAGGTGCCATGATATCAAGATAATTCCCATCACATCACTGGCCAGTGGTTGTAATGTGGCTCGTCCTACCTGCACGCCTACGTTCACACGTAGACCGAGCTCTGCTTAAACCACCTGGAGACACAGATCGACTTCACGTGACTTAATGCAGCCTCATGTTGGGGTTTCCCTTACTCTCCCAAAATCATAGCCGAATTGTGTGATGGTCTGTACACGTGTCTGCTGAAGGCCACACACTGACGTGTCGTGTCAGCGGCGGATGATAAGTGTGTCCAGTATCTAACCAGTGAGCGAACAGAGTCCATTCAACCAACCCCGGGCTCCACCCATCCCTCCTTCATCCTGCCGTCTCTACTCTCGGGCCTTTACTTTTTAGACTTAATGACAAACTGTTGAAGTCTCATCGGGAGTGGTGATGGTGAGGCCGCAGGCACGTTCACACCGAGGTCCTTACTCCCACCTGACCGGCCGCCGGCCCTCAGGGCCTGGTCTCTGCACTGAACTGGACCGTAGGCCTGTCACCAGAACCGCTACACTGAGAGCAGCAGGCCAGTCCTCAATGGGGGAAGTGGTTTCTCCAGAGAAAACAGACTTTCACACACAGTGAAACCTGCTATTGCACCATAGGGCCAGCTTTTAGTCTGAGTCGTCCTGCAGCTGCGTCTTTGGCATTTCTGTGGAGATCAACTGGAAACTTGGTTTGGGGTCTTGGTTGCTCGGTATGTGTCTGTTGCAACGTCACATCCTCTATAAAGGATTCAAGTTACATAAGTCGTGAAACACCCAGCAACAGAAAGAGGTTGGTGGGATTTCAGTTATATGCACATAAAGCCAGAACTCAGGAGGGGCAGAGCAACCAGCTGTGCCAGAGTCAGTGGGGATGGAGGGCGCGTCCTCGCACTCGAGCCAAGAGCCACGTCTTGACAATACAAAGTTAATGATGATGATGATGATATCAATATTACTAATGTATATTTACCATATTTAGTCATTTGTCCTCTTAAACTTGGATTTGACCTTTAGTGACCTGGCACGGTCAGTCGGGTCTGAACGTCCAGGTAAACGCGTCATTTAGCTGTTTTTATTTATAGGTGATTCTCCTAAAGACACAGCGTAGTTTGTCATATAGACACTAAATGAATATGGAAACGTGAATCAAACAAATGGCTCGGACGTGCGCGGCATCACACTGTTACACATAATGTTTTTGTATTGTGTCATGGCTCGTACACCTCCCCACCCTTTAGCGAAACGGGAACATGTAATAGCATCGTTTGCGTTTTAATATGACGCTGTAAATATGTCCGTGACTTGATTCTCATTTCTTGCTGCCAGCCGTTTGGGCGCCACCGGGCTTCCATACAGATGCTTCAAACTCCGGTGTGCTTCCTATTCTGGACGTGGTGCCAAGTTTACAAAGTATGAATTCATATTTATTTATTTACTAAAGGCCACGGATGGCTGGAGGGAGGGGTGGATGCTGGAGGTCCAGCTGTCAGCGTGCTGTTAATGTCGGAGACAAATAAAACCTTTCCTCGGGGTGTTTCATGTTTTAACGCAGTTTACTGCTAATGAGCCTGACGGGAGAGAGAGACGTCGACAGGCAACGAGAGGAGAGAGAGGGAGGAAGGGAGGGTGAGATAAAGAGGAGGAAGAGCAGAGCGTAGGGCTCAGTCAGTCGCTCGGTGGACCAGAGCTCAGATGGAGGTTTTTCCTCCTGCCGAGGAGACTGACGGCATGACGACGACTTCCTGAGAGAGCGAGAGAGAGAGAGAGAGAGAGAGAGAGAGAGCCCCCAGTTTCCAAGGTGACGGCATCCCTCCATCCTCATCCTCCTCCATCGTCTGTGGCTCGACGGCGTCGTCAGGATGGGAGATAAAGGAACCAGGTGAGACGTGGTGATACACGAGGTGTGTGTGTGTGTGTGTGTGTGTGTGTGTGTGTAGTGTAGTGTGTAAACACAGATCCAGACGTGTGTTGTGCGTGTGTTGTGGTAACATTACATAACGTTCAACCAGGTCCTCCAGCAGGTCTCTGTGCGCAGGGCACGCATCATTTCTTCTGTATAAGGTTTTTTTTCTTGTTGGCCTTTATTTTGATAGTGCAGACCGACAGGAAGCATGGTGACATTCAGTGTTGGGCGAGGTAGGGGAGGAATGTAACACTGGGTCAGCTGTAACACTCCCAGTTTGACCAGTCAGAAAAGAGCTGCAGTGACAGTATCACTACCAAACATTCCCAGTTTCTTTCTGAGCTGACAGGAGCAGCGGCGACTCTCTGTGGACGACACTGTGGACTTGAGGGACAAAAAAAACAGATTTTCACATAAAGCAAAGATTATTGTTGACTAGTTTTCATTGTATGGAAGAATCTACCCCCAGGGGTTGCAAGCCAGTGACTTCTGTGCCGGTCCCAAGCCTGGATAAATAGAGGGCTGTGTCAGGAAGGGTATCCGGCATAAAAACATGCCAAATTTAAACATGCGAATCATCAGTGTGAATTCTATACCGGATCGGTCGAGGCCCGGGCTAACAACGACCGCCACCAGTGCTGTTGACCTACAGGGTGCTGGCGGAAATCAGACTACTGTTGGTTGAAGAAGGAGAGGAGGTAGAAGGATTCATAGACACAGAGAGAAGAGGAAAGGCAGGAGTATAGGTCTGAGAATAGGATGGAGCTGCCAGGCAAGAGGTCAAGAGGAAGGCCAAAGAGGAGATATATGGATGTGCTAAAAGAGGACATGAAGTTAATTGGGGTGAGAATAGAGGATGCTGAGGATAGTTAGGTGGGAACAACTGATAGAAGGAGAAGAAGTTTTCACTGTATTGAAGGTAGTGGTTTGACTTGGGTGACCTAAAGCAGCATCTACTCTAGTTTGATGCTTGGCAGTCCTGCTAACTCCAAACCTGCATGCTAAGCTGTTAGCTATGTAGCTGGATGTTTGGGGCGGGGGCGGGTGTAACAGTGCATCTCCACCGTAAAGCCTGATGACCAGGAGATGCTACTGAAGAGATTCTCTGCATCATGTGCATTCGGCAGACTCGAGACCAAAAGAAGTGTGGGTCCAGTCCAGTGTCGGGTCAGGGCCCACAGACCCTGACCCCCAGGGGCAGCATCTACATTTGCCACATCTGTGACATTGATTGAACTTTTATGTGACACATGCACATTTTGAAAGATGGATGCCCCCCAGACACACACATCCTTTTATTTGTCACTTTGCAGGTCTTTCAGCAAATTCTGTCTTGTTGTTACCTCTGTCCCCAGCTAGTGGTAGAACTCACCCTGGTAGTGGGGTCGGTCATCACAACCGAACTCTGTACGTTTGATTTTAACTCACATAATCCGTGATTGTGTTGTCGTCAGCCCTGTGAGTTTTATTTGTAGTAGACAAATACGGGTACCGTGTATCAGGGTTTGCTGTTACAGAACATCTGTAGCTGAAACTTCCACAGTTCATGGAGTTCGAACTGGCAGCGAAGTGCAACAAACACACGAAAGCAGCAGTAACATGAATCGTTCCTCTGCAGAACAAGTACTTTAATTAAGTTTTGCTGGTAGAACTTTTGTACTTTAAGTAACTACTGGCTTGTAGTGGAGTATTTGTAGACTGTGGTACTGCTGCTTTTACTTTAGTAAAGGTGTCAGTCCGTCGTCCATCGCTGCTTAGTACGAGTTTACTTTTGCTGTTGTACTTTAATTTTAGTCACTTACTGATCAGTGGTGGTACATTACTCATGGTCCTCCTTCATTAGTATGCAATAATATTTTACACTGTGTGTGTTCACACTCCCGTCACAAACTGTTGGGGAGCCCAGCTGATTCCTGGACCACGGCTCCGCCAGCAGCTAGCCAGGTCTCTTCTGTAATGTCTCAGGTCCAGTTACTTTAATAATAATAATCAGCACCTTTATTTGGCCAAGTATGTTACATACACATGGAATTTGTTTCTGGTACAGAACCGATGCAGCCATCTGCGGCGCCAACTCACACCGATGGCCATCGGGGGTTCAGTGTCTTGCCCAAGGACACTTCAACACATGGACTGTAGGCACTGAGATTCGAACCACCAACCCTCCGGTTGAGAAACGATCACTCTACCCACTGAACCAAAGTCGACCCCAAACGACTATTCTCTATTATTCTATTTTCCTGTCACGGCGTCTTTAATTTTGCGTCGTGTGCCTTGTCCAGTGAATTTTACTCCAGCTGGACCCGGTGTCATTGACACTCTTGAAGCTGTTTGGGTTGCACATTCAGAATGTGTATTTTTTGTGCTTGGTGGCTGGTGTTGCCTCGTATCTGAGTGTTGGGTGTGTTTCTGTGTTTGCAGGCTGGATGGCAAGTGTGTTGTCAGCAGAATATTAACGAGTTCAGTGTGATCAGTCAGACATACAGAGCAGCTCAACCAAACGCTGCTGCTGCTGCTCGAGATGTTTCCCTGCCAACACGAGATTTTTACAGAAGTAAAAGCGACTCGTCCACAGTCATCTGTCCTGATTCGCTTCAAACCTGCTCTGACACGTCTGGAGCTGATAGTGACGACCACGACACGTTAATACAGAATGTTTTTAGAACTCTTCTCTGTCAACCTAACTTTATTTCTGCAGCCCAAGTCACAACTTCCAGATCAGTCTGAGTTTTTTTTAACAACAAATCATTTGTTAGCACCCTCACTTGTTTGTCTAGTTTGGATAACTAGAAACGTTCCTCTATACATCATCGATTCATTTGAAACGACAGACACTGTCTCAGATGTTCTCTGTCTGTTTTAATACATATTTGATTTTATACTTTAAGAGGTTGAATACAAAAAAAGAAAAGTCAGACAAAATATATGGACACATTTAAAAAAAAACAGTCATAAGAAAAAGGCAGGTAGATGTTTCTACATGTTATCAGGTCTAGGAGAGATAGAACATCAAAATCTTGTATATTTAACAGGTAAAGGAAAAAGGCTGGCGACTTTCTGTTTATCATTGTCAGAACATTGTGTGTCTGTCAAAGCAGCGGAGCTGTGTAACCAGACCAGAGACTCTCCACAGCGATGCCGTTCTCGGCCTGTGGACTGATAAGCGAGACCAGGGTCTGGACTCTCACACACATTACGTGAATTTGAACCTGTCATTTGGCAACGATTTCATCAGCAGATTTCCAACCAGACCATTAGTGTTGATGCTGACCAGTTTCTCCCAGCTCACTGTCTGTGGCCACGGTTTCCAGTCTGAGAGCGTGACTTCTCCACTGCCATCATGCATCAGTGCTTAATGGAGAAAGACATCCAGGTCGTGGTATATGCAGCAGCGCTGATGTGCCAGAGATTCTTGAAGATAGTTCACCTCTCATCCAAGAAAACGTGAAGACGCTTCTCAGATGAGAGGCGACCCTCCACTGAGTCCAGCTGCCATCTTATAATGCTTTTCAAATATTGTTGTTCTAGAAATCTGCTCCAAAAGGTGCCAAAGCCTCCTGTGACCCAGCCTCATTGAACTGGCAGCAGTGCAGACATATGAGCTTCTAAAGGTTTTGAGCTGGACTGAACTCTAACCAGCCAGATTTTCACTTATTTCTGCTTGATCAGTGAGTTTTTTTTTGTAATTTCATGAGGACAAACATTTGAAGAGCTGGGCAGAGTGTGGCATAGCAGGTGGTAGTAGAGCCGAGTGGGGCAGGGGAAGGGCGCGCTGGGCAGAGCAGGGTGGGTTAGTTTGGAGTCTCATGCTACCTGAAGTTACTGTAGCTTTAAGAAGATCAAATAGGAATCCAACATGCCCCTGAGGTTTCCAGATGGAAACGTTCTGATTTTGACATAAAGAGGCATCAAGAGCTGATGTAAAAGGGACATAAGGCAGTAACAGATGCATGGTCGCTGCGTGGCTTTACGGGTGTAACATCAGTCGATCCACCACAGAAACATGTCGACATTTCCTGTCAGGACAAAGCATAATAAACTAGCACCATCACCAGGTCAACATTTTGTTGTTTACTATGAGCTTCAGATCTTCTCTGTGTATGCTGCTAATTAGCCTGCTAATTAGAATTTAGCAGGCTTAACACACATGGTACACCCTAGCTAAACATTAGCGTGTTAGCATGCTGATATTTACAGCTGAAATGATCAATTATGATTTATTGTTTCAGGCAGTTTTTGTATGTAAAACATTCACTGGTTGAAAGTGATTAGCTCTGCTGCCTTTCTTTGATGTGACAAACTCATTCCATCCAGGTTGGACAGACGAGCTCAGTGGAAGAAACGTTTTATACACAGAACCGTCAGTTAATTGAGAAAGTGATCATTAATGAATTGCTGATGAATTAATAATGAAGCCATCGTTAGGTGCTGCCAAACTGATGTGAGCGTTTGGCTCAAAGCATCGCTGTGTCTAACTACAGCCCCACAGCCAGACAAACGGCCTTCAGACAAGATGGCGGACTGCCAACCTCACGGGAAGTAGTCCATATTAGCAGGAAGGCATCGACCTCAGCAGGTTCAGTGCTGGGTTCGGGGGCAGGGGCCAGGGCTTTTAGAAATGACGCCCTGCCCAATGGGGGCATGATGCACAGAAGACTGACCCTGATCCTCCCTGAGTTAACGATCACCCCAACCCAACTTTCTGCTGGAGGTTGACAGTCCACAGTGTTGGTCCCAGCGTCTCTGCCTGCAGCTTGGTCCCCATCCAGCTCAGAGCTGCTAGCACAGGCCGAGACTAGTGTTGGGTCTGGTTGAAAGCTTCATGTTCAGCAGACAGTCAAAGCAGTGAAACTAGGAGGTGGTTTTGTGGTTTCAGCTGTGATTTGTTGTAGGATTCATCTTCCAGTAGTCCTTGTTGTTTTGAAGGCAGCTCGAGAACAGGAAACCAGTCACCAACTGCTGGTACCCAGTTTAACTCGGAAACAATGAGAGTCACATCCTGTGGGGAGTGATGGCTCCATTTCTAATAACAGAGCTTGGATATGAAGTATTTAACAGTTGCTGTTTTGGTTGGAATGGGTAGAACCCTGCGGTGCGATCAGGATCCAGTTAACGTCACTGTGGAAACTCCTGCCTCACCACCATCACTCTGCAGCTGTCAGGTGTGATGTCGTGGGGTCAGTGAGAGTCTCAGCTGTCGGCGTGGTATCCAGGGAGTCTTCAGCCGTCTGTCAGGCAGCAAGCTGACACAAAGATCAGATATTGATCAGTCTGTTAGGGCTCTCCCTCTGTCAGAGAGTCTAGATCGATCAGAGAGCCGGGGCAGGAGAGGGAGGCTCTGCAGCTGCACAACAAAAACCAGCCCACCTGCACACAGTCCTGCAGAAACACAGCTACTGTCACAGCTGTTACTTACTGATGGAAGTGAGATGTTCATACTTTATAAATAAATTTCTGTGTAGCTGGAGAACATCCAGGTTTCACACCGTCCTGCTGATTGTGGGACCAAACCTACAACGTCCTGGGAATCGGCAGAATTTATTACAGAAAAAGATTTTGTAAAGTCAATGAAATCTCTGAAAATCAACCATGAAATTAACAGATGTTTATCGCATGTGACACAATGTTCCAAAATTTCTTTGTTCTGCAGTGAAAACCAAAACGTAAGATTTTTGAGACCCTCAAAAGTCAGAAAAACCTACAAGCGTCGGTTATTTCTCCTTTGTGGCTCTGTAAGCCAG